GCATACCACAACGCAAAGCACCATTTCCTTTACAAGTTATTTGCCTGTATACATTACCAGACGCCTGCCCTTGCCCTTGCCGCCTGGGCTGTCTTTATCCCATCCTGGCCTCCCCGAGTCCCCTGCAGCCCCTTTCGCCATCCACTTCGCTCCCAGTTCACCCCGTGTACTTCGAGGCAAATCTCAGTCAACTCCATACCGCCTGGGGTCTTCGTACCGTCCCAATATTCCCTGTCATGCCATTTTCCACACAAACAATGCTGCCCAGGCTGCCTGTCGGAAGCCTCTCGTAACAGCATCACTAGCTCACAGCATCTAGCAACTGGCAGAACAGTGACAGCCCGATAGATCACATGTGCCGTTTCCTCAAACCCTTGTGTTTTGCTCTCAAGATCTGACACTGGCTTTCGTAGACTGACCATCATTGGCCATTTACCGCGCCGCCCCTTCGTTAGCGGTCAACTACTCCGTACTCCTCTTTCTCTCTTCTCAATGAAAATCGATCTTCTTCATTCATTATAATTTGGAGAAAAGAAGAGAGGGGCGAGCTCATGCGTTGTGGACTTGAGGCCCGGGCTCGGCTCCGCTGCATCAACACAATTTCCGAGTTGGGCTGGCCCCTTTTGCCAATTCTCACTTCTGATAGGCCGTTGATTGCTCATACTCACCGCCATGTTCACCCGCTTTCCTGCGGCACTGAGCAGCAGTCGGTATGCATAACCAACCAAGCACATGCACAGCAAGGTAGTGTCCATGGCGCGATAGCTGGTATCATGGGCTGCCTTCTGTACCTTGGCCATGGTGATATAATAACGTCCACGCCACGTATCGGGGACGTGTTCTCTGCAATTGCAAATGTTGGTTTCGTTCCGTCTCATTGTAACGTCTACCGTATTGTTTCCTTTCTAGTCATGCCCATATTTATGTAACGACCAGCTTTTATATGCCTTCAAGTTGATGTGAATCCCGGGACTCCCTTATCCAAAGCGCCCAGATCCCATATCGACATGTTGAGATGCTGTCTTGGGTCGCCGAGAACCTTCTTTTTCCCCGAACCAGGAATCTTCATCACAAACGCCTTACCAATGCCATAGCTTCTATATGCGCGCCTAGTACAAGACGCGGGTCATGATGCGTGCTGGATCCTTGTGTAAGTGGCTTTGAAACTCGTTACCGTATGTTCGGATTTGTACTCACAGCTCAGAGAATCCAGACCGTCGTTGATCTCCTTGATGTCCTCCGCCTTGACGCTGCTCACGTCCGCCATGAGGTATGCAATCTAGCGCCTTGTTAGCAACCCGACTTCCATCCTCGACTTTCAATGCAACTCACGTCGCCTCTGCTGTCGGAAATCTGCTTGTCAACATTGTGGTTGCCAAGAATCTCGTTCACTGCCGTCCGTTAGCACTCTATACGTAGACCAATCATGTGAATTATGGACATTATCTCACCTCTGCGCAAGACACCGGGAACGTTGCGGTGAATATAGATGACCTGGATTTCTTGATCAGCTTTCTGTTAAGAGCCGCGTCGCGCCAAAGGTTGCTTACACGAGCGTGGTCGGGCTCATCCAAAGTCAATGATCTCAGGTTGACCTCAGGCAGGTTAACACTATTGAGCGTGGTGCCCTGGTTGATATAGCGAACAAGCGCCTCGGCAACTAATTCGAGATTAGTTTGAATGCTTGAGCAAGCCACTGAATGTATTCCCTACCTTCGACACCAATAGCACGCTGGGCTTCCTCGGTGCTGCCACCAATGTGTGGCGTCAAAATGATGTTGTTCAGGCTACGCAGGTCCTCGCCCCATGTGTTGAGCGAGCTATTGAAGTAGTCGCCGTTGGCCGCCGGCTCGTTGGGGTAGACATCAAGAGCAGCACCAGCGATCTTGCCAGAGCGCATGGCGTTAATCAGAGCCTGGATGTCGACAACGCTGCCGCGACTGGCGTTGATCAAGTAAGCGCCAGTCTTCATCTTCTCGAGCTGAGCAGTAGAGATCAGGTTCTTAGTCTCTGGCAGCTCAGGCACGTGCAAAGTAACGAAATCGGCCTCCTCGAGCAAGGCTTCCAGGGTGGGTACTTGAGTCGCGGTTCCCAGTGCCATCAGGTTCACGACATCATAGTAAACAACGTTCATACCCATAGCCTCGGCCAAAACCGAAAGTTGCGAGCCAATGTGGCCATAACCCACAATGCCTAATTTATAGTCAGCGAATGATAGGGCATCCTCCGCACCATTTGGCGATGCAGAGGTTAGGCATGATAGGATGACGTACCGAGCGTCTTGCCACGGATTTCCCAGCACTTGGAGCTGACCTTGTTCCAGGTGCCACGGTGCATCTCATTGGAGCGGTCACCAAGCTGACGGGCCAGGGTAATGATTTCGGCAATAACGAGCTCTGCAACGCTGCGCGAATTGGCGAAAGGGGAGTTGAAGACAGCAATACCGTGGGCGGCAGCGTATTCGAGGTTGACCTGGTTCGTGCCGATGCAGAAGCAGCCAATGACGAGCAGGTTCTTGGCCTCACGCAGGACCTTCTCGGTCAACTTGGTCTTGGAGCGAATACCAATGACATGCACGTCCCTGGAGGATCACATTGCATGAGTATGGGACATTCTATCACTCTCCTCATCAGACTACAGTGTAAGGGAGAGGCCTACCGAATCTTCTCAATGAGCTGGTCTTCGGGCAGAGAGGTCTTGAGAGCCTCGACCTGGTAACCTTGCTCGGTCAGGATATCTTTTCCTGTCTGGTTGACATTTTCGAGGAGCAAAATCTTGATGTCTTGCGTGTTGAAGGGCTTCAGAAGTTTGGGTGCTGGCCTCTGGGCCAGAGCAGCGCCGGCTCTAGCAAAGCTTGAAGGGGGGGAGGTGAAAGTTGCGGTTGGCGAAGTTGAAAGCCCCAAGCTGGCGGAGACTTCGAGCTGTCTTCCATGCGCAGATGCGCCGGCGATGTCTTGTGCTGAGCTCATTATGTGTGATTGGTATTGGTCTTGCTGTGTGAGCAAGATGGAGGAGGGATGGAGGGGCAACACGAATTTTCGATGCGGGGCAAATAGAAGCACGAGAAGGCTGCCAGATCAAGAGCTGCTGGGCTGTGGTTGGGTGTGAAGTAGTAGGGAGAGGTAGAGCGCCGACTGGTATACGACGAGAGGGTTAGATGAGCAGGAAACAGGGACAACCAAGGCAATGGACAGAGGTAAAATTTTGGAAATGTTTCTGGGAGGAGGAAGTTTTTTAATCACCTCATGTCAAGTAGCCAAAATGACGCGGGATGTGAGACGGAGGGCCGTGACTGATGTAAAATAATGAGGTACCATACCAAACCTTGGGAGTGGAAGGTGGTACCTGATGACTGTTTCCAGTCCAATGCATGTATCTTCACTACTATTTAGCATGCTAGAGGTACCTCGCGCTGCTCTTTTTGTAAGGTCGTTGACGTGCCGTCTGCTGGCCGCCTGTGGGGGGCACCACAAAGGGAAGGATCCAGCGAGACAGACCCCGATGTTGTGGGCAGGTGGTCCGGGATTCTCCCGCCGCATGGGGACACTGTTTTTTACACGGTGCGGAGGTCGGAAGTGGACAGGAGAAGTCTGCCAAATGGAAAGAATTCATGCGCGGCTCCAACTATCTGCTCGGACTCGCACAGTGAATAAAGTCCGACCTGCCAGCGGAGCACGCCCGAAGGCCGGCAACATCCCTCAAGGTGTCCGGCACTCGGTCGTAGACTCATCTCTTCAGGCTCAGAGGCTAAGGTACCTACCTCGACTTACCACCTAACTCATTCCAGCCAAGCATGAGGTTTGAGTCACTGCTCCTCAGCATGTGGGTGGGTTAAAGAGAAAAAGGGAGGTAGAAAAAAAAACCAATTTTCTCCGGCGCCGGCGCAGATGGCACACCACCTTACACAACGAGCATGAGTCCGGACTGGCCACGACCTCCTTTGCGTGGGTCGCGGCTTGTTTGAAGATTTGGCCGACGCATTAAAATTCAACTTGATGTGATGTGCTTTGACCAAGATAATTGCTCTTGTTACCTTACCTTACCTAATTACCTACCTGAACCAAAGTCACTGACATGACCAGAGTGCCGATTCCGGACCGTACACCGACCGACCTATGCGACTTCAGGTCGTCCGCAAATCAACTCATCAAGTGCTGGTTAGTCCAACGGCCGCTCCGACCTTCTACAGGTCAGCATGCACCGCCGCGTCCGCCCTTGACTTCCCCGACATTCTACGGAGCTTCCATATTGGTCTCAGCCGTGAAGCCTCGGGGCGACATCCTGACAATGGAGTGTCATTCCTCCATATGCCTTTGAGTTGACTTATATATGACGAGGCGCTCCAATTGCTGAAATATTGCAATAATGCCCCAGGGAGTATGCCGCATCCTTCTCAATTACGCGCAGTAAAAGAGCGAGCTGAGGATTGGAGTGGCCCACAGCCATATGCGGAAATATGGGCACCATCCCACCCCACCTTGGAGATGCAAGTAAGAGGAAGATTTGCTTATTTGACTTATTTCCTGTCTATTGCTTCCATTGATGATGCCCGTACCCGTTTTACATGAAGGAAAATTCGAGTAAACACCCTTTCTACAAATCCATTTTAGCACCGACGTATAGCATCATTCATGACCAGAACGTAAGATGGCCGTTTCGTTGAGGATGTCTGAGACCAAAACGTCAATTACCATCTATCAAGCAAGAAGCTCATCCATTCAATGCTGCTCTGCTTGGCTTAACCCTCAAAGCGGGTTTATTGACGTGGCGCCAAGCGTGACGCCGCCGCCTTTCATGACGCGAAAGAATCAGAGCATGACCATCACGCACTCCCCAAATGAAGTCTGTCATGAACGTGAAGAACCTAGCAATCCAGTTGACCGACAGTCGTCGCTCAGCTCTGCTTGCATTCAGCCGCCTCCTGCTTGGGCTTGCCGGTGTCATCCTGATGTATGGGTTAGCGTCTGCCATCGTAGGATCCTCGAGTTACACGTCACTTACGTCGTCCTCGGACTCCTCGTCCTCGTCACGGTCCTCACTAAGATCGTCCTCGTCCTCGTCGTCTTCATCGTCAAAGTCGCCCTCCATGTCATCATCGTCGAGCTCCTCAAAAGCCAAGGCCTCGCCGGTGAACCAGTCAATGGCACGGGGAATGAGCTTCTCCTTGATGTCCTCACCGAGTTGGTAATCAAGCTCGAGGCGCTCCTCAATGTCGGACGCAGCGTCATCGTCCTCGTCGGCCGGGGCCTGGGGAGGAGAGAAGAAGTTAAAGAAAGATTCGGTAGGCACCGTCTTCTTGACAATTCGGGTCTGCTTGGTGTCTGAAAGAGGAATTAGCAGTTGCATCGCGATGGGCGGTTATTTGCGCAGAGCTTACTTTTGTTTCTCTGCTTCTTGCTCTCGACTCTGACGGTCAAATCCTTGCCCTCCTTCCACTCGATCTTGTCGCCTTCGGCATGGTCGTAGATGAAGTCACCGCCGTAACCGCTTTCACTTTGGTAAAAGTACGTCTTGGTGACGGTCTTGTTGGTGAAGAAATCATTGTCGGCGAATTCGAAGATGAGGCGGAAGCCGGGCTTGTCGAGGTACTCCATGCGGATATCGATCAGGTGCTTGAGAGCGGCCTCATCGCGATCGGTAATCATCTCGGCGAGGGAAATCTGGTTCTTCATGGCAGACAACCAGAACTCGGGGATACCAGAAACCGGCTCAGTGGATTCGGCAGCCTTCTCGGTCTTCTCGGCCTCCTCAATCTCCTCATCGTCCTCCTCGTCATCCTCCTCGCCAGCCTTGATCTCCTCCTCTGTAGGCTCCGAGGCACCATTGATAACCTTGGCACGCTTCTCGTAGAGAGGAGTGAACTTGGCAAAATACTTCTTCTCGAGCTGGAGAACCTCCTCTTGAAACTCGGCTTCAAGCTTGGAGTGTTCCTTCTGGATGCCTTTGAGACCGGCAACACGGCGACGCACCTGGGGAGGCAGCGACTCGATGTAGCCGGAGGATCGGCCAACGAGAGAACCAAGTCTTCCTTGGATCATCTGGACGAGCTTGGGGTTCTGGGCAAAGATGGAGGCGGCAGCGGCACGGTCGAGATCCTCTGTAGATTGGGTGCACGTCAGTAACGGGTTGATAGAGGGGTGGACGTGTGCAGAGGCGAAGGCCCATAGTGCGCGCAAGAAAGACGAGAGTTGAACATTGCAGCGGGGTTTTTTTGGTACATACCTTCCTTAATGCTGGCGACGCCAGGCTGCTGGGCATGCGACGAAATGGGCGCATTTTGAAGAGGGGTGTTTTGCGGCGTACTGGATGCTCAGGAGTAGATGTCAGCCATGGTGATCGTGGAATGGGGCAAGGGAAGGCAAAGGAAGCGACCCCTCGCCACCGGATAGAACAGTGCCGCAAGATTTGTGACTTACGGCGCGGTGGCCGGATCAAGGCGCTTGTTACGGATGGGCTCAGCCATTATGTGCGATCGAATCTTTTGATGGTTCGTATTCGATAATGGAGTGAAACCACAAGAGGCGTGGGACAGAGAAGTCCCGGGCTAATCTGAGAGGGAGGTTGCGGTTGATGGAGTTGGCAGGGCAGAGAACGGTGCCGAACGTGGGAAGTTGTAGATGCGCAGTTGACTTTATTTTGGCGGGGGGGAGGCAATGTGTGGTATTGGAAAAAAAAAATTGGGAGAGAGGCTTTCTCCTCCGTTGGGGCGGGTACCGCAAGTTGGCGCCTGGGCTCCTCCTATGGTTAGGCGGACATGGCACAGCGGGTAGCGTGCTGCCAATGGATTCCACTGCGGGCGACTTCCACAAAGACGACCTGAGCCAAGGGGAGGGGGGGGCGCCGGGCAGACAGTTCCATGCCATTGGACCTCATGAGGCAAGATAGGTAGGTACCTAAGGCACCATACCTACCTATCCGTACAAACCTAAGGTGCCTTAGGTAACCTTGTAGGTATGTAGGCATGGACACCAGGCGGTGCAGCACTGTTATCCGAAAGGTAAGGTATTAGCCCAAATAAGGCGGGCAGACACCTAGGCAGTCCCGCATCCCTGGGCTGGGCTCTCTTGATAGGTAGCTTCTATTGGTCAGACATGTTGAGAAGGTATCAGTGTTAACAAAAGAATCAACATGGACTTTCAATAACTGCCATGGTGCTTGGGTCTTTAAGTCCTCTTTGTCGCTGCACGACTGCACAAAGCCCAAGAGACAAACAGCGAGTGAAACCACTCGCTAGCAGTCAAACCATATCGTTCCAGCAAATTTGACCCAGGCTATCTCAGCATTCCATGATTCCATACCTTACTGAATACCTACGATACCCGTAAGTGGCTGGCAGCGCTGGCCAAGTGAGGTAATGCGGGGATGGCGGCGCGGGCCACTGGGGCTAGGTATCTACCCACGGCTACCTTACCTCAGTCACAGTGCTCCCTCTCGTCCTGCGGAACCTGGACGGCACCCAAAGCATCATCATATATCAGAGGAGTTCCTCGCGATGTAGCTAGGTATATACCCTACCCGAAAGCAGGAAATTAGGATGAGGTAGATAATCTGTATTACATTAATCATTTCCATCAATATCAATTCAGACCAGCTGGACAAGGTCTACATGGTTTTGGTCGATACTAGGTACCTGTGAGGTGGTTACCCCAAAAGGTTTCTGTCGGCATTTGCCGATGGTTGCTTACCTAAAATTTCCACGAGACAAAACTCCCCTCCTCTCTCCCACCCCTCTCCCAACCTGATAGGTAAGCTATTCCGCCCTTCCCAAATTCCAGCGGTTCGTCTCCTATCAGTGCAGCAGGTGGCCCAGCACGTCCAGTTGCCCAGCCACCGTTCCGGCATGATACGGTTGCTTACCTACCTTCTGAAGCAGCTTGCGCTACCTTAGGTAAGCAGATTCATGAAAGTGTCGTCACATCCTTTCCGAGGCACAGGCACCTTACCTTTGATAGATAGCTAGCTACCTTACCTAAGGACGGAGAAACCTGCCTACCTTACTCCAGTCGCCTCACAATCCCTGACAACCTGCAATATTTCTCCTATGCCACCTAGCTTAAGCTACTTTTGAAGCCCTTAGTATGCGGAATGCCAACATTTAATCTGCGTAGCTCAACGAGACAGCTACGGTTGCCTGGCTTTTCCTGCTACTTCGCGCGCTCGAGCTAGAAATCCAAATCCCACCGCAATTTGAGGACGATTGAGCCGACCGTGCGGGCATTCGCGCTGACTGTCTTGACCTGCCGATCGACTTCCCAACTCCGAAATCGCATCGCAGCGCATCACAGCTCAGCTTCCTCGAATTTTCCCTAAATCGCTTCCTCTAGTTCCCGCAACTCAAGTAAGCGTCTTGACTCACGGTTATGCGCCGTTCTCGCCGAATCCACAACACCGCTTCTCTCAACTTGACTCTCGTTTTGGCAGTTCAGCCACGCCTTCAACCTCTTGTCTCTCGAGCTGGAACCTTCGATACCGTTACGGCGACTAGATCGCCCTGAAGAAATTGCAGATATGCCTGCGTCAGGAGAGAATGGGCACCATCGTGCCTCCTCTACGTCAAGGAATGGCCATGCGCCGCTCTATCGGCTCGACTCGAATCAGAGCTCAACGAGCATCTTCGAGGAGGTGGAGATGGCCCATGACGAGGTCAGACAAAACCAAACCCCGTCTTCAATTGCGCATTAACTCAGATCCTACCGTCTGCAGCTTTTCTCTGGTCCTGTGGCCGAAAGCCTTCCTACCAGCGTTTCAGCTTTCTCCCATCGACGGCCTCGTGCTGACTCTACAACGAGTTTTGCATACTATCACGATGAACCCGAAGCCTCTCCTACTTCGTTCGAAGATGAACGTCAAAGCCTGTCAGATGATGTGGGGGACTTTGCATTTGGTGACGATGACGAAAGCTACGCTGATTACGAAAACGGCGATACCATCGATGATTACATGTCCCAACGCAGGCGGTCGTCAACGCACTCGAGATCGTCTGTTCACGCCCGTCTGTTGCGCCAAGACAGTGGCATGACCAATAAGAGCCTTGGTGGAGATCGTTTGAGCCAGAAGGTTTACATGGTGAATGAAGACCTTACTATTGCCATTGCTGGCTTTCGGACGAGTCGACTTGGCTTCACTGCTTATGTCGCACTTTGCCTATGCACTGCTGGCATCGCTTGGCTGCTACTCAGATGGTTTCCTAGATGGCATGTGAAACTTTTGGGTCTGCCGTCTCCGCTAGCCGAGTGTGACTGGGTTGTTGTCGAGGTAAGCCATGCGTGGCCCCTATTATTACACATGAGCTGACTTCGTCTAGAACCAATGGGGAGAATTTGCCCTGATGGACGTGGACAAAAAGCTCTACGGTAGACCCATGTCTACCATCTTTGGCTCCACTGGGAAGAGCTACGGGGTGGATGATGATTACGATCCAATCATCACCGAATTGCGTATGCTCAACTATCGTTACGTTCGCTTGTACTTCAACCAGCAAAAGGACAAGTTTGTCATATTCAACGGCTGGGTTGATCCGAATTGGACCGATCCTCGCGCCGTACGTGCCGGCATAGACAGCGATGAGAAGGGACTGCGAGCAGTTGTGTTTGGAAATAATCTGATTGATATTGAGCAAAAGTCAACACCGCAGTTGCTCGTAGATGAGGTAAGAAATCATTTGTAGTGATAGGTCGAGATGCTAATCGTTCCAGGTTTTCCATCCTTTCTACGTCTTCCAAATCGCTAGTCTGATTCTGTGGTCTCTTGATGAATATTATTACTACGCCGTGGCTATCTTCCTTATGTCGTTTGGAAGTATCGCCACCACCCTCATTGAAACCAAAGCGGTAGGTCGATTTCAACATTGTGCTTTTTTGGTCTAGCAGGAGGCTAATGGAGCTAGACGATGAAACGACTCCGCGAGATTTCTCGCTTCGAGTGCGATGTGCGTGTCCTTCGAAATGGATTCTGTAAGGACTCAGCTGCCCTATAAAATCGTCCGAAATCCTGACAGACATAGGGCGATTTGTATCCTCGAGCGAGCTCGTGCCTGGTGACGTTTACGAGGTCAGCGACCCAAATCTCACTCAATTTCCAAGTGATGGCTTGCTTTTGAGCGGCGACTGCATCGTTAACGAGAGCATGCTGACAGGTGAGTCTCACTCGCAAGTCCCACTTCCGCATGAGTGAAACTTATCTGACTTACATCTCGCTCTCAGGTGAATCGGTCCCTGTGTCAAAAACACCAGCCACCGATGAGACGATGTACAGTCTTGATTTGGCTGCACCGACTGTGTCGCCAGAAATTGGCAAACACTTCCTCTTCTGTGGTACTAAGATCATTCGCGCCCGGCGGCCGCAGGAAGAGCGCGATGGAGACGCTGTCGCCCTCGCACTCGTGGTCAGAACGGGATTCAGCACCACGAAGGGATCTCTTGTACGGTCCATGCTTTTCCCCAAACCATCCGGCTTCAAATTCTATAGAGACTCTTTCCGGTACATCAGTGTCATGGCGATCGTAGCCATGCTTGGTTTCATCGCCTCTCTCTTCAACTTCCTGCGGCTTCACCTTGCCTGGCACCTCATCATCGTCCGTGCGCTCGATCTTATCACTATCGTCGTGCCGCCAGCGCTGCCCGCGACGCTCACCATTGGGACCAACTTCGCGCTTAGTCGACTGAAGAAGAAACAAATCTTTTGTATCAGTCCACAACGGGTCAACGTAGGTGGTAAGATTGACATCATGTGCTTTGATAAGACCGGCACCCTGACAGAGGACGGATTGGACATACTCGGTGTTCGGGTTGCATCTCCGGTGACAGGCAGATTCACGGATGTGCTTACCGATCCGTCGTCTTTCGTACAGGCGCAGGCTGGCGTTCCAGCCCAGATGGCAAAATTGAGGGCAGCCTTGTACACCATGGCAACTTGCCACTCGTTGAGGTCTGTGGACGATGAGCTGATGGGCGATCCGCTTGACCTCAAAATGTTTGAGTTTACAAGATGGTCTTTCGAAGAAGGCAAACAGAGTCCCAACGAGGCAGACGACCAAGATCAGGGCAGCCTTTCGCCGTCAGTCGCCCGACCTCCAGCTGAGCATGATGCTCTTTTGCGAGGCACTACTCAACAAGGAGACCAATCGGTAGGCTGCGGACCCCTTTTGATCAAAGCAAGACTAACCCACTTGGCCAGCAATCGCTCGAATTGGGAGTACTGAGGTCCTTCGAATTCGTTTCGCAGCTCCGCAGAGCAAGCGTCATAGTTCGACAATTTGGACAGCAAAGCGGGGACATATATGTCAAAGGTGCTCCTGAATGCATGCGAGAAATATGTCGCGAAGACAGCTGTGAGTGATCCATATCTACCAAACTGATTTCCGTGCACCTCGAAAGGCACCGCTGACCTTGAACCTCCTCTTCGACACATAGTCCCAGTCGACTATGATGATCAGCTTGCCTATTATACACACAAGGGTTATCGCGTCATTGGCTGCGCAGCTCGCCATGTTCCAAAACTTAGCTGGGTCAAAGCCCAGAAAATGAAGCGACACGAGGCCGAGTCGCAACTGGAGTTCACTGGGTTCATCATCTTCGAGAACAAGCTCAAGCCGACCACGGCACCTGTCCTGACTGAGCTGCTGGAATCGAACATCAGTACGACAATGGTAACAGGCGACAACATCTTGACTGCCATCAGTGTTGCTCGTGAATGCAACTTGATCAACAAGACCGCGCACTGCTTTGTTCCGAGATTCATAGAAGGTAAGTGGCGAAAAGTGAGGCGTCTGATTGATTCTAACAGTGACCAGGCAACGCCGGTGATCCAAAGGCTCGGTTACAGTGGGAAAGCATTGATAATGGAGGTTTCCAGCTGAACGAACAGACTCTTCTTGCAAGTTCATTCCAATTTGAAAGACGTTGTTGCAAAGCTAATTTTGTTGCACAGCCGCTACCACCTCCGGCTGACGTTGACGCATCATTGGCATACAACATCAATGACATCCGCAATTACTCTCTAGCAGTCAGCGGCGAGGTTTTTCGCTGGATTGTGGACTTCGCGCCTCCATTGGTGTTGCAGAGAGTATGTTCTTGCCCCGAGCGTGCCACCTGGCTGGCTTTGCTTACAATCTTAGATGCTGGTCCGTGGTCGAGTGTTCGCGCGTATGTCTCCAGATGAAAAACACGAGCTAGTCGAGAAATTGCAAGCGATCGGGTACTGCTGTGGCTTCTGTGGTGACGGTGCGAATGATTGCGGCGCTCTCAAGGCTGCAGATGTTGGCATCTCCCTCTCAGAGGCGGAAGCCTCCGTTGCAGCTCCGTTCACGTCACGCGTCTTTGACATCGGTTGCGTTCCTCAGGTTATCCGGTAAGTGATGCCACTACTCGCGAAGCAGAGTTTCGTCATAACACATATCTTTAGCGAGGGTCGTGCCGCACTTGTGACGAGCTTCAGTTGCTTCAAGTATATGAGTTTGTACTCGGCCATCCAGTTCACGTCGGTGAGCTTTCTCTATGCTACAGCTTCTAATCTCGGCGACTTTCAAGTAAGTTGACATGATCGCCAAAAGCTTCATCACTAGCTGATCATACTTTATAGTTCCTATTCATTGATCTACTATTGATTCTTCCTATTGCCATTTTCAGTAAGTCGCGAACCCATTCCAAAACCTTTCAGTAAAACGCTCATAAGTATTGTAGTGAGCTGGGCTGGGCCATACCCTGTCCTGTCACGAAAGCGACCGACTGCAGACCTCGTCTCGCGCAAGGTGCTCGTACCATTGCTGGGCCAGATGGTCATTTGTATACTAGTGCAAACTGCTGTATATGTCGCCGTGAGAAAGCAGTCATGGTGAGCACTTCCCACCTTGCTCCCACACACTTCTTTACGCATTGCTAACTGCATAAAAAGGTACGTACCTCCACGTGTCAACCATGACAAGTCGAATATCAAGAACTCGGAAAATACGGTCCTATTCTTGGTGTCCTGTTTTGAGTACATCTTGGCGGGTGTGGTACTCAACGCGGGTCCTCCTTTCAGGGAAAAGGCGCTGAAGAATTGTAGGTGAAGTGGCATTGCAGCAACATTTGTCCATTAAACTAACTCTGAAAAGGGCCGTTCATGGCAACCATCGTGGCAACCATTTCTATTACGTTATGGATGATTATTGGCCCAGGGCATTCAGTAAGGCACCTGATGCAACTTACTAAGACGAGCTGGGACTTTGAACTCTTTATGATTTTACTCGGGGGCGTTTACTTGGTCACGGCATGGGCATCGGAAAAGTACCTCTTCCAAAAGCTGGCTCGGGCTATGGGACATTTCAAAGAAAACTCCCTGAAGAAGCCGAAGCAAAGAAAGGAGTATAAAATGATTCTGGAGCACATGGAGTTGTAGGATTACACGGTTAGAGAGATGCCTTTGGGGCTTGAGAAGACACGCTCCCATATTCCTACGTAGAGTATGGCGAGCACTGCCTCGATGTATTGAACAAGCAATCGACTGTGGTAGTTGAAATCTAGTTTCCACGTGAAATATGAAGCTGTTGGTCTTGTTTTCTTAGCCGGAAAGCAGAATCGTGCTGCAGCAAGCTAAGCTGACCGTGCAATGATCGTAAATGAACGTGTCATCGATGATCCACCGACCCGCATTCCGGTGCCGACCTAGTCCAGGCGGGTCGCTCCGGCTCCGAGTGGCCGGGGGTCACGGTTGCACCATGCGACCTGCCACCCCAGCCACAAGCACAGCTAGCTAGCCCTCAACTGCTTCCCTACAATCAGTTAGGTCAAGCTTCGATTGCTATCATCTACTCCCAGTTCTCGTGCCAGTAATCTCCGTTGGACTGGCCTAAAGATCTCGCACCAGTCAACGACTTATATCGCTTTAGAACTCACTCGGATTGGGTGCTCGGACATCGCTTTGGTTTCAAAGTACAATACAACCTCACGCGTTGGGACCCAAGCCATAGAGACGGTCAATCCCTTGCTTCTGCCTCCCTCACTTCACTGGACATTTGCGAATCACCTCTGCAGCGAAGATGAACATGGGTACGTCTTCGCACCCAAGCCTCATCAAGCTCATTGTGAAGCCAGCATAAGACTGGGCAACACATTTCTAACGCAACACCTAGACTGGATCCTCGACAGCGGCTACCTGCCCCACGCCGTCATCAGGATAGGCATTCGGCGCCAGCTCCAGGAGCGTCTCGACTCCATCGCGAGCACGTCCCTCAGCCTCGACTACGAGCGCAAGATGACGTTCATCGAGAAATTGCGCACTCAGCCCATTGCTATTGAGACCGCTGCGGCCAACAAGCAGCACTACGAGGTTGGCACCGGCGTCCTCGCCGCATGCCTTGGCCCCCGCATGAAGTACTCGTGCTGTCTCTATCCCAAGGGAGGCGAGACATTGGCACAGGCGGAAGTGGCCATGTTGCAGACGTATGTTGAAAAGGCCGAACTGAGGGATGGTATGAGTATCCTAGATCTCGGGTGAGTCGTCTCCCGTCCTTTCTATGCATCGTGAGATCATATATCAGATTTAGGGCCTGGCTGACGTTTGCAGCTGCGGTTGGGGATCAGGAGCGCTGTACTTCGCCGAGGTACTCCCCAACTCCAAGGTCACGGCCTTTTCCAACTCCAAAACCCAGAAGGAGTACATCGATGGAAAAGCCAAGGAGAAAGGGCTATCAAACCTCACGGTCATCACAGGTAACGTTGTTGACTATGAGTTCGAGCGGGAGTCTTTTGACAGAGTTGTCTCTATTGAAGTATGCATTTTTCCTGACCGCTAGATGTATCCGATGAAATGGATGTTGACTGTAACAAAAGCTATTCGAGCACATGAAAAACTACGAGCTCCTCATGGCAAAGGTGGGCAGGGCCTTGAAGCCCGGTGGCAAGCTTTTTGTCCACATCTTTGCCCACAAGACCACTCCCTACGATTAGTGAGTAATGGCCGCCATATTGTTCATTATCGAGAAGCGCTGACCGCGAGGGATTTCAGCGAGGAGGGCTGGATGACGACATATTTCTTCACAGGAGGCACTATGCCTTCCACTGACCTGCTCCTATTCTTCCAACGGGACCTTCAGATCCAGAAGCAGTGGTGGGTTAACGGACAACACTACTCCAAGACGTGCGAAGTAAGTTGCCGCCGATCTCCTCTCTACCGTACATCAGTCTCAGCATGACGAGCTAACACGAGCATCCAGCACTGGCTGAGCAAGATACTCGCCCACAAGAAAGAGATCTGGCCGCACCTGGTCGAGACATATGGAGAGCAGAACGCCAGCGTGTGGTTCAACAGGTGGCAAATCTTCTACTTGGCGTGTTCAGAGCTGTTCGCCTACCAAGGCGGGGACACCTGGGGCGTGTCGCACTACCTCTTCGAAAAGCCCAACACTCAGTAGAAGAAGTGACGGAACCCAAGCATAGTTGTGCCTGCCATAATTGCTTTGCACCCATAATAGAGTGGCTGATTGTTGATTCCTCTGCCTATATTTGCCTGACTTTTGGACTGGCGAATGCCGAATGATCTGTCGATATCGCGCATCTTCCGTGCATCCCCCAAACTTCTTGTTTACTAGACCACCCCTTCCCAGAGGTTTCGATTTAATGATCCCAAGGGTGCTTCCAGCCCAGCAACACAGCTCCTGTACATCTCCGTGAGCATTCACGCAATCAGTATCATCGAAAGTAGGGAACGTACCGTCCTTCTTCGCGCGGTACATGAGCTATCGATAGCGCAGATTGACATTAGCTTCCTCGGCCTCGCGGTATCAATTAGGGCTTCGATGAGGGACATACGAAGAACCACATGCCAGCACCCAGGGCAGTCGCTGTGAAGCGATACACACCAGGAACGTGAGGCGTCGGAGGCTTGGGGCCGGTATACATAGCGAAAGTCGATACGCTAGGCGCGTCGTTCAGGGAAGATTCTCGAGGGGGATGGATGGATGGAGGGTTTCTTGAGGTTGCAACTCGTCAGCAGGCCGCCAGAGACTCAATTGATTCCGGACGGGTGGGCTCGCATACCTTCGATTCGCCTTTGCCTCTAGGCGTTCTAAACTTTGCTGGGAAACAAGGTCGGGATTTTCGGACAGTGATGGCCGTTCATCAGCACGTTATGGGAGAAACGTCGTTGACGGACTGACAATCTGAGAGGTCTTTGGATGCTTAGGTAAGTCGGCTTGTGCCGAAGTGTCGGACCAATGGCAGAAAGTGCAATCTAACACGCTCTTTTCGTCTTGGCCCAGGAGACTACCTGCGGTCTACCTAAGAGCACTGAGTGACTCGTGCTTCATTCGCTCGGTACGTACTTCCTTTGTGACTTGCAAGGCACATAAGGTAAGGTACCTATCTACCTTAGGGATGGATACCTTTCCGGCACCCACCAACCTTCCATTGGGTGCTTGGCTAGCAGCACCTCACACTTCCGAGTTCCAACTTGCAGCGCCTCATTGCCGCAGTACCCTCAGAACAAAGGCACAAACCCCTGGGCACTCAATTAGCGGCGTCAGGGTCGTCGTCGATTCCACCGTTAAGCCCCCCGGCTGGATAAGAACCCACCCCTCCCCAACTCCAGTGACAGACGCGACATGAGAAAGTTAGTGCCACCTATCCCTCTACCTGTCACATACACATACATAGGTACACTTCTAGACTTGTTGAACACCAGCCTGTCTTTCTGCGCCTACATCGACTATCCATTCTCCTACGCAACCTTGTGCGACCTAACCCGACTCAGACGTTCACTCGTTCAATCAAAAGCCACCACTTCCCGGTCTGAATTATTCTGTGTGCTGGATATCTAGACAAGACGACTTGCGCCGATTATCGATCCACGGACGATTACATCACCCAAAGTTACAATAACCAGCGCACGCAATATGGCGACTCCCAAGTTCAACTCAAAGTCGCCGACTATACGGCGCATATGTAAGGTGTCCCTCATACGTTGGATCCTTATCCATCTGACCACCTAGAAGCTCGCTAATCAATCGGGCCCAAATCAGTGCGCGAAGCCCAAGAACTCTCCAGCTCTCCATCGCCAGATTATACGGCTACTCCACTAGAATCAGATCTATTCGAATGGCACTTCACTTTCCGCGGGCCGCCCAACTCCTCCTACAGCGAAGGCATCTACCATGGCCGCATCGTGTTGCCACCTACGTATCCCCTTCGCCCGCCGAGTTTCCGGTTCCTTACACCCAGCGGCCGTTTCGAAACCAACAGAGAGATTTGTCTAAGCATCAGCGGCCACCACGAAGAGACATGGCAACCTGCATGGGGCGTGAGGACGGCACTCGTTGCGTATGTTTAGCCTTGGACTCCCTCTCTCTGCCTTTCCAGTCCCTATTAGAGATGTTTTCCCGTCGCCTAACAAGATAAAAGGTTGCGTAGCTTCATGGAGACGGATCCAAGAGGCCAACTCGGCGGTCTCGAGACAAGCGATTCTGTACGGAAGCGTCATGCCATTGCATCACACACATTCAAATGCCCAACTTGCGCAAAGACAAATATTGAAATCATTCAAGAATGTGAAGAATCGGCGAAGGCCAACTCCGACTCGCCAGATTCAGCGACTGAGGTCGAGATACCCTCCGAGCTGAAGCTTGGATACAAAGATGAGATGACTGGGCCCAAGGGCTCAGGAGGATCAGCAGAAGCAGTGACACCGGTGCCTCCGACACCAAGAACCGAACCGGTGGATGCAGAGAGTGCCGAGCTGGCTGAAGGCTTTGTTCGTACGGCACCTGAGACAGTCGTGGCGGCCCCGAGTTCGGCATCAACATCACAATCACCAGCGACGGCGGCATCTTACCCTCCTGCGCGTCCAGGTCGAGGGATTATCACCCCCACACGGACGGTCTCACTGCCTCCGGCCCCGAATCTTAGTGTGCGCCCCCAGGCTCCTCCTACCACCCGCGCGTATGACGAAGGCGTACCGCTCTGGGTTGATCGAGCCATTGTCGTTCTCGTTGTACTTCTGCTGGCCATGATTCTCAAAGTCTTGCTTGACTTTTAGTCACGATGATGTCCTTACAATTTGCTTGAGGGGATCCAGCCCCCGACACCCTGGATGAACACTGGAATGCGAGAATTTGTTTATTTCACGGTTGCTGGCGTCTGGTTGAGGTTGTTTAGGCGTTATCACTTGCCCATATCCATGGTATACCATCATCCGGATACTTGTAGACTTTGTTTTATTGATACAATGGCCACTGGGCCAAAAGCCCATGTTTACAACGGAATGGGAATACTACTCCAATGTACTTGTTGGCCCCTTAACCGGTATCCAGTAGCGACTGCTCTCATACGCGCGCCGCCCCGAATACCCTGATGACATCCACCGTCACGAGTCGTTCACAAAATATTTCGCTGTTGTCCAACGAC